TGCCCCAGCATGGTAATCACATCGCATATTAGGATTGAAATCCATAGGATAAGGAGGAATGACAGGCTTCAGTGGCTTGAGTTCCACCAAAGAAAGCTTGGGAAACTGAGGGAACAACTGGCCATAAGTCATGGGAACAATGTCGAACACCCTCTTTGGCTTCCTATCCCTTTGTTTATCTTGTTGCATACGTCTCTGTTGATGGGTTTGTTGCTGAGGAGTATACCGAACTGGATGAACATGAGGAACATTCTAATTTTGATTAACCATCTGATTTCCATAACTTGTAAACAGCTGTTGGTGAGAACTATCTAAGAGTATAGGTTGTGGATGATGCGACTCAAGTCGTTAGATTGAACTTCGAAGAGGAGAAGGCGTAACCATAATCTCTGTAGCAGTTAGCGTTGGATTGACTTGCACGATCAGACCTTCGGGAGTGAAAAGAATTGTCCCTATATCAAGTAGATCATAGACTTGGTGCTTAAAAGCTATGCAATCTTCAGTATCATGGTCGGGTGCCCCAGAGTGAAATTCACACCTAACAGGATCGTCAACGCCATGAGGGCATTCTTCATGTGTAGTGAAGATTCAGAGTTTGACCAAATGAAATCCTAGCAGGGGAGGAAGCAATTGTGCATACAACTTTGGAATAGGATCAAATTTCCGTTCAGGCTGTTTTGGCCTTTGCTGACGAACTTTGTATTTTGAGTCCTTTTGGGAAGCAACAATTGGTTGCGGATGGGAAGATCCTTGAACGCAAGGCTGTAGAGGAGATGCTCCCTAACTTGAAAGAGTCCCCAGATTATAGGGAGGAATGGTAGCTCCTATTGTAGCAGGCATGGAAACATCTTCTTTATTCAACATCGTCCCCAAAATTCCCATAACCAAACTCAATTGAGCCTTCGACTGAGTGTTCTCTTCTTTCAAGTGTTCTGGTCCACAGACAAAATCTTGTATGTCTAACATCGAGAACCCCATCTATTCTTTCATCTCGTCCAATTCCCCACGAAGTTCTTCCATAACTTGAATCTGATCACGGAGCGGCGAGAAGTCAAGATTTGCATTTCAAAAAAGAAAACACCGGGTCTGAATATGGATTACCCATTCTGAGTACCTTCTGAGTACCTGCTATGGATGCATGAAGATGCATGAGGTGAGTGAGAGTATTCTCCTTCTGATATGATTTCGACACCACGGTCTCCGGATTAATCTTATCTTAGACCTGGTCTCTGGATGACATACCATCTTCAATCGAATGATCAGTTGCCCCAGAATAATATGCATAGAGGATTCTTTCAGGAGAATAAATGAATGCTTTACCAAGAGAATCGATATAAACTGCATCATCAGGCATATTGCGCCACAAAAAAATAATACAGTTTGTCTTCTATCAGAACAAAAGAGACATCCACCTGTTGAAAAAGAGTGTGGCAATTGGCCAAATAGGAATTGGTCCTTTGGAAGAGACGCCAAACAGGTGTTGGGCTTTATATTTCAACCCCTTTGTAGTCTTCAACATCAAAACCGGGCACCCCAGAATAGGGGATGCATCTAGCCTGTGTATGGCAATCAGAAGAGCTGCTTGTGGGAGGAGGACCCCAAAAATCAGAGTTGGAGATAATAGGATGTAGTGCAATGGGCTTGTAATAGCATGCTCATCAGGCATCTTCTGTCTTTGCTTAAAAGCTTTTTTTTAATGAATTCACCAGGGGAACAAAGACTGGTTGCCGTTGAACAGATCAGTGAACACAAAGTTATGGAGGATGCCCCTGATCAAAAAGTCTGATGCCCCGATGTAGAAACCACGTCTGACGTTGGTTAACAAGAACGAAGCACTGATATAAGATCCTATAGTAAATGGGAATCATCTGCTGATAAGATGTTCCAATAACTCAGAATTGCGTAGCAATCCATGGTTGGAAGCAATTCCCAAAAGAAGATGCGGAGAAGAGAGAACCTGCCACGGTAGTAAGTTTATTGATCATTATCAGAGCTTCCATGACCTGGTTCATCTAAGGCTTTAATTGACTATCTCCCTTCTCGAAGAAATTTCTGACCGCAGGCCAGAGCTTGCATGTATACTACACAGAGTTGTGCCATAACTGATCTCTGAACATGTGGAGCAAGAAATCAAGTTGAACCTCCGAGGATAGCACCGAGTCTGAATAAGAATCCCCAATCTTCGAGTATCTATTCTAAATGCATGAATATGCATGGGGTGCATGAATGGATTCCATGTCATGTTCCGTCATTTCCAAGGAATTTATGTGCTTTGGTTTTGATTTTACGCAAGTAAAAGATGGAAAGGTTCAACACAAGGCTTGCAAATATGATTCCTTCGAAATAATAGAACATGTATGTTAAGCATGTGGTTAACCATGTTATGTATGCAAAGGCATGAGATCAAATGGGATCAAGGTTCCATCATTTCTGAATATGATTGCTGCACTGCTTCTGAACCATACGAGTATCATCAAGTCAAAGGCTTGTCATAGCTTCCGCACATGTAAGAACCAAGTACTATGTAGATCACTGATTGTACGGGATCAAGGCTTCTAGAACTAGATACCGTTGAGCCTTTTCTGAACATGCTAGGAATACTAAGATCGAAGGCCTGAATGAACCTCCAAGTATACAAATCAAGAACTCAGAAAATAAATCTTAGAACCATACGGTCACCAACAGAACACCATATGCATAAGTCACCGACAGAAATCCAGAACATAATCATTAGAACCAATAGTCATTGTCTGATCATAGTCTCCATCTGAGCATGAGTAACCATCTAAACATAGTCACCATCTGTACCTGTGATAATAATTCCCTCCCCATTCACGGGTGAAGACTAGGTCAGGGTAAGACAATGGTAATTCGAAAATCACGGGTTCACTTAAAAGTAAAACCATCGCAACACAGACGTGCATGATGAAAGTACCTCCAATTGAACCTCATCCGAGCGTGGTATATGACATGACTGCAATAGTCAGACCATGTCCTATAGCTGTCATACCCCCACTCTATTCCTAGTGTCCTAGTGCACTCTGGCCTGGGTACTGGGCCTTTTACCTCAATAGTAACATCCCCACCCAATCAAGAAGGAGATCTATTACAGTAGTAGCATATGGAAAACAGTAAAATGCAATGCATACATATGCTCAAGTATATATAAAATGAGTGAATAATATGAAAGCATAAAAATAAACACCCAAAGAAAAGAAAGAAAGAGCTAGGAGGGACTCCGGGATGGACCAATATTCGGTCGACCTTTCCCCAGTGAAGTCGCCAGCTGAAACAACCGGCTGAAAATCATCAAACAATGAAGCCACCATCGAATGTTTTTTATCCCACAAGAAGGCAAAGGTAAATATCGAGTAAACCTGAGAATGGAGAAGTCACGGTCTTGCGACTGAGAGAAAAGGGTAAGGGAGTCTGTTATGTGAGGGGAAGGTATTAGCACCACACACACCCGTAGTACTCTATGATATCCACTCTTGTTATCTATGTTATGGGTGTGTTAAATCTATGCTTACTATTTACTATACTACTGAAGGGAGAATGCATGCAAAAGAAATGAGAAAAGAATGTAGGGAAAATAAAAGTTGTTCTCGTTCGGGCCCTACCCCGATGCCTACGTATCCCTTTTAAGGAATTAGAGCAGCCGTAGTTCGGCTCATATGTTTTTGTTGGTTTGTATTTTTTAACGAACAATATTAATTTCGCCTCCTGCCGCAACTCGACCTTTGGAGACTTACGCGTCAGCACAAAAGTGAATTAAAATGCTCTTTTGAAAATTTTTTAAAGAAAATGTGCTTGGGCGCACAAAAAGGTTTGAATTGGTTTGTGTTTGTTTAATGAACAATATTAATTCCACCTTCTGCCGCAACTCGACCTTCAGAGACTTACGGGTCAGCACATAAATAAGTGAATTAACATGCTCTTTTTGAAAAGAGTTTTGCAAGGAAGGCCCGTAGGCAAAAAGAATTTGTGTTGGCTGGTGTTTTTGCTTGTGGATAACAACTAGTAAATCTTAAGAGAGAGATATTAGCCATTTCTGTACTTATTCATGAAATAAGTCTTTGAGACTTGAACGACACCAAAGCTTAACCCGCTTATCATCTCTCAAACTTAACAAAGATATGATCCTCGTCAGTAAAAAAATTTTAAGTATTTCTTTTTAGTATTTTGTAAGAAAAGGAAGTTTTTGTTTTAATGCAAAAATGAAAAAGGGGAAAGAAAAGTCTGAAGGGAGACCAACCTAAATCTATTTCTAATACTATCATGTGATGGTGGTCTTATAGTTGAGTTTTGAAGAGAAAGTAGAAAGAACATATACCAAACATGTACTAGTCCGTAGAGTAAAGCAAAAAGCAAAGAACTCGGTGATCTCACGAGCTGCTAGCACCAATAAAGAAAAGAGTTAGAAATTGAATACGTAGTGTAGGTGTCGAAGCGTCATCAATGTGAAAATAAACCATGATCAAAAACTCAAGCATGCCCACATATCCTACATAAGATTCTAACCTCAAAAAGTGAAGGTAAATCACGAATTCTAATAATCGAATATTCAGAATTTAATTTCCTAAAGTCAAAATAATAATATAAAAACAAATTTTTATTGATTTTATTTTTTTTATCATGTAAAAAAAGGTTCAAACAAGTCTAATCAATCTACAAAATTATTTAAAAGAAGATACTGAAAGAATAAACCCAGGGGGTGTGAAGGCAGACTATAGGGTAAAGACTCAGCAACCATGTTTGGTCCAACATACCAAAAACGCACTAGCCCATTCAGGAGTCCAAACAGAATTTTTTTTGTAATTACTCTAAGATGTCCCCAAAACGGGCTTACAAAAATAGTGGTAAGCAGGCCTGGAAGAGGGTCCGGTCCACTCAATTTCATTGCCTCTTTTTTTCTTTAAATAACAACTCAAAATAATAAAAAAATGAATAAAGAGAGAGAGGTGATACGCTGCATTTGGCTTCAAAGGTGTTATGGCTTTCTATTTTCCCTTCAACACTCTCACACTTCCCTTTTTCTTTTCTCTGTCGATACCATGGTGGTGAGATTTCGCTGCCGCCATCACCAATATAACTCTCAAACCACCTGTAATCTTAATCATATCGCATCCAGACCTAAATCATCATACCAATTCCTCACAAAAATCCAAGACTAGGCTGAATAGATAAGGTACCTTCGGAACCCTAAATCTATAGAATTCATGGATTCACATTGGGAACATCGAGATTCGAGGTTCATATTACCCAAAAATCACTTCAATCACCGTGAATGTACGCTTAATCATAGAAGAATCACTAGAAAGATCTGAACAGAGGTATCTAACCTTGACGCAACGGTGAAATCTCTGACTGCAATGGCTAAGGTATTCTCTGCATCTTTCTTTCGATCCTCCCTAACTTTCTTCTGCATTTTTTATTTGCTGCTATATGGATGTAATTGTGCATTCTTAATGATACTGCGATTGCGTTTGAAGGGGAAATAAAGGAGGTTGAAATGGTGTGATGATTAATGATGACACAGGTTCGCGTTGATGAAGTATGTGGAGGATGCCGACGAAGTTGCAGAAGTAATGTAGAAACAGATTTGTGCGATGAAAATGCAATGCAGTATTGAAGGTGATGATGAATGGAGATTTTGGCACTTGAAACATAGATGAAGATGAAGCAAGAATTGCAGAGAATTAGATGAAGAATCTTGTAGTTTAGAGAAGGGCGAATTGATGAAGAAGCTTGAAGGTTCAGCAGGTTGAAGATTGAAGAATTTTCTGGTGAGTTTTTGTGAATTTTTCTATGTGTTGAATAATTGTATACATTAAGATTCAGTTTCTAATTTGCTTCCGCCTTCTGTGAATGAATGATGATTCATCCCCTTTTCCTTCTGTGAATGAATGATGATTCATCCCCTTTTCCTCTGTTCTGTTATGGTGATTTGTGTAGCAAGAGGCTGTGGAGAAGACGGAACTCAGAGAGAGGGAAAGAAAGAATTTGTGGTGTGTGTGAAACTGTAGAAAATCATGGAGCCCCCGAATGATGGATGAAGATGATTCTTTTATAGACAGCTGAAGATTGAAGATAATGGAGAGAAGATTCAAATGAAGGTGTGTTTTTTCTATGATTTTTTTATCGTGAATCCCCCCCCCCCCCCCTCTCTCTCTTGGATAATGATCCTGATATATAGATTTTCTATTGAGGCAATTATGGGATTGAAACTGTATGTTAGTTAGGAAATTTGTTGGGAGTTAGTTAGAGATTGGTTAGGATGTTGGGAAGTTAGAAATTCTGTTAGAAAGGGGTGAGAGGGGTTATGACAATTAGGAAGTGAGATGATGGTTAGAGAATGAGATTTTCTGTTTTTGGTTTTTTCTGTTAGCCATGTTGCTTGGAGAAGTTAGGAAGTTAATTAGGAAAAACGTTTAGAAGCTAATGAGACAACTAAGGGATTAACAGTTTTGGTTGAGATTCTATTGTGAAAGTCTGTTAGTGGAAGTTAGGAAATTGAAACTGTTGGTTACTTTTTAGAAGTTAGTTACAGGTTATAGAATTCTGTTGAGAATTTTCTGAAGTTGGTTAGAAGTTTCTTTTTGTTTCTGTCGATCAGTTAGGATTAGTTATAGTTGGTTTTGAATCAGCTAGAAGTTGATTGGTAATAGGTTAGTTAGAAATTAGTTAGAGGGCTGAATGAAAAGGGTTTTAGTTCTGTTATGTCGATTGGTGAGCTGTAAAACTATGAGTTTTATTCTTCTAATCCAATTCCTTACTGCTTTTCTAAATTCTTGATTTTCATTTTCAAACATTTAATGGATAATAAATCTGCTCAAATTTTCCTTTTCCACCATTTCCCTTATAACTTTGTACTTTGTCTTGATCTTTTCTGACTCTAACTGATCCATGCTGGTTTAGTGTATACAGGTTTTGCTGAGTTTTCATTTTCCGCTGCCAGTTAACAGCGATGTGTTGGGTTTTTTCATAGGGATCCGATTCTGCATGTTCTTCTAATAGTCTTATTTATGCAGGTTGTAGTAAATTTGGGCAACAACAGGGCAACCGGTTCATTATGCAGTCTCGAGGTTTGATGACAGTGGCGATGCACCCCTTGGAAACATGGAGGATTGGAGCAAACAAAGTGGACCTGGTTTCGATGTCATGAAGACGTCTTGCAAAGGCTTTGGATTTGAAGCTTGAAAGAAAGCAGGGGATTTGGTTGAAGCATTCAAAGGCAAGGCATGACGAAATTTACTTGGAGTTGAATGAAGAAAGCTTATGACATTAGGATTAAGGCAAAAAACTTGTGTAGCTTTTTTTTTGTGTTTGATTCACTTTGAATGTAGTAATACTTGGTTTCTTTTCTTTTTAAAAATAGTGATGGAAATTGGAATGAAATTTGCAGTCTTCTTGTAATAGAATTTGAGTGAAGACACAAATGCAACTTAAATGGTTATGTAACCTTGTGAACTCTTGACTTCGAATGAAGAAATACCAATACTTGAAAATCTAAACCTTTTTTATTATTAAGGTTTTGCATAAGATCCTGTAATCATGCAATGAGTTCAACAAGGTATTCGTCAAACAATCAAAATGATTTTGGAATATTAACTTCTCACTTGTGCATTCCACGTGTTGAAAGTAGAAACTCGAATGGGATTAAACGTAATCTTGAATGTTGTTTAAAAAAATTCATTTCCTTTTCCAAAACCTCAATATTCTAATGAGCTCTCAGTTATGGACTTTAACAGCTCCATTTGAACTCAAAGACTTCAAATGAACATCCCAAAAGGATCGGCTTGTACCAGTTATTCATGAATCAAGTCTTGAGCAACAAAACTTATCAGACAGTATACCCAGGATCATGATGCATCCAACCTGGATTGGTTGACCAAAGAGCATACAAATTTAGTGCATTAATGCCATATTCAGTACTTTATGATTTAAGCAACATGCATGCCTTGAATTGATGAAAGACGAGTCTCCAATAGCCATCATCAGATAAAACGCATTTGACTAAAGGATGAAAACCCCCTTACGAGAAGACAACTTGAGGAGCTAGCCAAAGCCAATCAGTCTGCATTCTATGCAATCATGGCTTTGTAAACTGGATTTAAGGTTTGTAAATTATAACCATTGTAAAACTTGAGTGGTGAATGCTAAACTTGGTATTTGAAATTGAATGGGCTTGTGATATTTAAAGATGAAATGAATGGATACGCTGAATTTCTTGCACCTTGAATCATGAAGAACTTTGCTTTTGTAACTCCAAGCACTCCATACTCGCGGATTCTGAACTCATGGCACTAAGTAGTCTTTGTGATGGATAATTCACAATAGCGAATTCGACTCAAATTCAAATCTTAAATCCAAACTTCAATCTTGAACCCAAATAAACTTGTATGATAAGTAATTTGAATAGACAATAAGATATTGATCCTAAAGAATTCATAACCTCTCCTTTTGTATTACAACTCATATTTCACGATCCAATCCACAATTCTTGACAAAGTCCTTCCCTAATTAACGACCCTGAATTATCAAAGATGAACATAGAAAATAGTGAAAGAGTATGATCGAGATTAACATGAAACTTTATCCCTAGGATCTTTAATTACTGAAAATTTATCAACGAATAGAAACCCTGATTCTTTGGCTTGACGTAGGGAAATAAACCCTAATCTCGAGAACTGATGAAACTGGATGGAGCAGAAGTCCAAAAAATGAGCATGATCAAAACCCTAATTCCAAAGCCTTATACACCAGGAAATCCATAAATAATTAGACTTAGTTAACCCCTACACCTCAAATCAGTTGTAACCCTAGCTCCCTAACTACTGATCTTTTGAACCTTAGGTGATCCATTTTTTTATGAAAATGCGTGCTATACACATGACCTATTGGAATGATGCAGATGAATGCAAAGTCTAAGCCAGAATAAGAGAAATTAGGAGGGCAAATTTTGGGGTGCAACAACTGCCCCTATTTAATCGCCTTCAACCTGAAGGTGAGATTGGCGCTAGCCTTTCGAACTTTCAGGGTGGAAGAAGATTAAATACTTAAAGAACCCAAAAATTTTCACTCTGAAGCCAATCAGAATACATTATATTTGTTTTTCTGTATTTTCTATATATATATATATATATATTTTTGCTTTCTAGGTTAAAGGAGTTATCAGGGTTAGATGTATGTTTAACCAGGGTTAGACACACAGAAGAAGAACTTGGTTATTAAAGAACATTTGTTGGGATTTGGAAACAAATACCCGTAAGAAAGATATCAAAAGATACATGTCTGAAGTCAGTAGCAGACATACAAAAGGGTATCAAAGATACATATCTGGGGTCGGCAGCGGATACGAAAGAGACAAACTGAAGAAAGCTTTGTAAAAGGATATCACGGACACATGTATGGAGTTGGTAGCAGACATATGAAAAAGGTATCAAAAATACATATCCGGGGTTGGTAGCGGATACGCACGAAAGAGACATCAAAGATACATATCTGGGGTTGGTAGCTGATACGTACAAAAGAGACATTAAAGATACATATCCAGGGTTGGTAGAGGATACACACGAAAGAGACAGACCGAAGAAAGCTCTTTCAAAGAAATCAAGAACACATGTCTGGGGTTGGTAGCAGACATATAAGAAAGGTATCAAAAACACATATTCGGGGTCGGTATCGGATACGCACGAAAGAGACAGACCGAAGAAAGCTCTTACAAAGATATCAAGTACACATGTCTGGGATTGGTAGCAGACATATGAAACAGGTATCAAAAATACATATCCGTGGCTGGTATCGGATACGCGCGAAAGAGACAGACCGAAGAAAGCTCTTACAAAGATATCAAGAACACATGTCTGGGATTGGTAGCAGACATATGAAACAGGTATCAAAAATACATATCCATGGTCGGTATCGGATACGCACCAAAGAGACAGACCGAAGAAAGATCTTACAAAGATATCAAGAACACATGTCTGGGATTGGTAGCAGACATATGAAATAGGTATCAAAAATACATATTCGTGGTCGGTGTCGGATATGTAAGAAAGAGACAGACCAAAGAAAGGTCTTTCAAAGATATCAAGAACACATGTCTGGGATTGGTAGCAGACATATGAAACGGGTATCAAAAATACATATCTGTGGTCGGTATCGGATACGTAAGAAAGAGACAGACCGAAGAAAGCTCTTACAAAGATATCAAGAACACATGTCTGGGATTGGTAGCAGACATATGAAACAGGTATCAAAAATACATATCCATGGTTGGTAGCGGATACGTAAGAAAGAGACAAATCAAAGAAAGCTCTTACAAAGATATCAAGAACACATGTCTGGGATTGGTAGCAGACATATGAAACAGGTATCAAAAATACATATCCGTGGTTGGTATCGGATACGTAAGAAAGAGACAGACCGAAGAAAGATCTTGCAAAGATATCAAGAACACGTGTCTGGGATTTGTAGCAGACATATGAAACAGGTATCAAAAATACATATCCGTGGTTGGTAGCGGATACATAAGAAAGAGACAAACCGATCAAAGCTCTTGCAAAGATATCAAGAACACATGTCTGAAATCGGTAGCAGACACATAACAGGAAAGAGACCAGAGGAAATGACTCTAACCAAGGATATCAAGAAAAATATGTCCGGTGGAAAGGGCATATATAAGGAAAGAGGCCGGAGGAAAGGAATCTAACCAAGGATATCAAGAAAATACGTCCGGAGGGAAGGGCGTATAACCAAGGATATCAATAAAATATGTCCGGAGGAAAGGACACATATAAGGAAAGAGGACGGAAGAAAAGACTCTAACCAAGGATATCAGGAACATACGTCTGGAGGAAAGGGCGTATAACCAAGAATATCGCAAAAATATGTTGATCTTTAAGAGTTGCAAATATGATAGAACTACAAAATCCATCAGGCCAAAGGCGGGGTGTAATTCTTCAAGAGTGGAAATTATCTGAATTACCACACACCAAGTATGGATACTCAAGTATTTGAGAAGCAAGAAAGGCTATACACCGACTCTTACTCGCACTCAAACGGCAAAGGCAATCATGGGAAAAATAACCATAGACTTGAAAGGGCAAGAGAAAGCCACGACTTACTAAGACAATGGGAAACATCAAAGCCCGACTGGTGGTAGGTTAAACAGACTCCGCTGGGGAAACAAAATAGAATCACCCTAGGATTTTTGTGGAGATAGTTCAAATCTAAATGCATAACAATCTGGTTACTGCAAGTAAACACAATTGTCTTATACTCATGCATGTTTGAAAAAAAAATTTATAGTGTAATGCTCCATACAATGGAAATGCTACACGTTTTGATAGATGCGATGTAATGATGCATGTTTAGTAATGCACTAGGAGAACATATCAATAATCAGATGCTGAGAAGACAATGAACTTCCGAACGATTATTCTTGCACATCTAATCTTTTGTAGAGAAAAGGCAATTTGTACTTCAATGGGGAACCGGGATTTGGAACCACCAACCTCTAAAGATCGATATTACTAGGGAAGTAACTTCCTGGGAAGACCACTGCAAACATAAATTGCGATTAAGAGAAAATCCTGAATTCTGATCAAACTCCCAACTTCACGGGGAACAAATTCTTTGTCCTTTGTTGGAAAGAGAAAAGCTTTACTGGGAATGGAAACTTCTGGCATAGAAACTCTTTGACGAAGATAACTTATTTTGGGGAGTATAGAAGTTCATAAATAAAAAGAATTCTACTCATACCACGCTGGGGATAACATTACTGGGAGGTAAAACATCCTCATTTGGGGAAGAAACAAACATCCTGGGATAGAAACTCCACAAGGGATATCTTAACAAAATCTTCTACTACTGGTAACAAAAGCGTTATGACTGGAATTCTCCTATACACCTCACCTGAGAGATAGGACACTTGCTCCACTAGGGAAAGAAGAATAGTTCCACTGGGGAAATTGGATCTCATTATACGAAAATCCTCATGTTAGTCACACACATACCCTTCTTGATTCATTTGTTGGTATACATCTTGTCATACAAGACCAACAGTACTTGCAAAACAGAAATTGGGGCGACATGCCCCTGTTTGAAATGGAAAACCTTACTGAAGAATAGATAATTTGAACTACTAATCACCGGGTAAAAACCGTGATGTAAGATTGCAACTTCAACATGTCGAC